CTTCTGGAAAGTAGAAAAAAAAAATACTTCCCCTTTGAAAGTCAATGAAAACAGTGAGTTTTCTGGGTAAAATTAAAAATGACAATCAGAAGCAGAATCCTGTTTGGCACAATCAAGTTTGGCTCCGGGAGTCTGCAATCCTTAGATCAATGATTCGGAACGGACTTTTCTACTAAGCGCCTTAAACTGTGAGATTTCCCAGGCCAGCCTGGTCCTCTGCATTCATTGCTGACAGGAGGAAGTCTGTAGGAAAATTCTCCCTCAGCTGCTACTGACTCAAAGTCTAAGGATGTCAGAAGAGCCGGCCTCGTTTGTAGGAAGCACGAGGTCTCTCAGTCATTCGTGGTCACTTGTCCCAGTTTGGGAGAAAGGGTACAGAGCGCTGTTCTTTTGGGAGAGTGCTTTTCAACAGGCACCTGCATCCCCCAGGCTTCTCTTTTCAGTTTGCCACTTCACAGTAATCATTTCTGGCTGGCGATATACCTGGGGAATGCAGCAGAAACAAATGCAAACCTGCTCTGGAAGAACAAATCCACTGCTCAGGCCACGTGGAATTCCCACAGGGAAAAATAAATCTCCCTGAAGAATTTATAATACAGATATAGAAAACACTAAAGGAAAAGATCCTTTATGAATAAGAGTCAGTAGATAAAATAGGCAGAATGATTCACTCCCCCAAAACTCGAGATGACAGAACAGGTTTAAAATATTATAAATATATTAGGCTTTGGTAAGTTAAGGAAATGAAAGAAATAAGCACACAAGAAAAGAAACTAAAAAAAGAAAAAAAACAAATAAAACATATAGAAATGAAAACATAATGAAACTAAAGACTCAATGAATGTGTTAAACAGAAGATTAGAGAGAACCGAATAGGGAATTGGTGAACTGAAAGATAGATTTGAAACAACTGTACAAAATTCAGCATGGATTAAGAGAATAAGAGAAGAAATATGAAAAAAATGGTTGAGACATAAAAAAATGACAGGGTCAAACATGCATACCAATAGGAGTTCTAAAAGGAGAAAACAGACTGAGGGAAAGACAAGGTAATAAAGATGAAAATTTTCCACAATTGGTAAAAATCGTAACTCTTTAAATTGAAGATGAAAAATGAGTTAAGCACTAGAAATAAGTTCACCTCGAGTCACATTATGGTGAAATTTCAAAATAAAAAACAAAGTGAAACTCTTATTAGTTACCAGATAAATTCAGATTATTAAGGAACAAAATGAGACTAACAGGCTTGTCAGCAGCAATAACAGAGACATTGGAATGACACCTGAAAAATGCCAAGCAAAAATAGTTATCAACCTAAAATGTATCAGCTAATTTATCATTCAACCTTGAGCATGAAATAGACACATTCGGACAAAGACTGAGAAAGTTCGTCTGTCGCACACCCTTCCTGAAAAATTTTCTAAAGGAAGAACTGCAAGAAGGAGACAGAACCCAAGAGAAAGTAGTGGGTGTATGCAGTAATGATTAACAAACCGGTAAATGATAGGAATGCATTTTTATATAAGCAAATAAAAATAAGTATTTATTTTAAAACACCAGTAATAACAGTAATAATGAGGGAAAAATTTATTAGATAACAATGACATGTAAGATGGAGTGGTTGATTGGAATTAGGATTTTTTAAAGTTTTTATGTTGTTCAGAAGAAAAATTGATTTACTTTAAATATATATATATATGTAATTTTTTTCTTTTTTGACACAAAGTCTCGCTTTGTTGCCCAGGCTGGAGTGCTTTGGCACAATCTCCACCTCCCAGGTTCAAGCAATTCTCCTGCCTCAGCCTCCTGAGTAGCTGGGATTACAAGTGTGTACCACCATGTCTGGCCAATTTTTGTGTTTTTGGTAGAGACCAGGTTTCACCATGTTGGCCAGGCTGGTCTTGAACTCCTGACCTCAGGTGATCCACCCGCCTCAGCCTCCCAAAGTGCTGGGATTACAGGCATGAGCCATTGCACACAGCCTAAGGGTAAATACTTTAATAGAAAGGGCACACAGAGGAGAAAAGGCAAGAATAAAGAAAGCTGATCAACTCAATAGGAGGACATAAGGAAGATCAAAGCAGAAATTACTGAAGTGGAAAACAAAGAAACTTCTAACTTCTTTTTAAAAATTGAAAAGAGGATGTCACCTCAGATATAGTAGAGATTTTTTTTTTTGTTTTTTTTTGAGTTGGAGTCTCGCTCCATCGCCCAGGCCAGAGTGCAGTGGCGCAATCTCAGCTCACTACAACCTCCGCCTCCCGGGTTCAAGCAATTCTCCTGCCTCAGCCTCCTGAGTAGCTAGGACTACTGGTATATGCCATCATGCCCAGCTAATTTTTGTATTTTTAGTAAAGATGGGGTTTCACCATATTCACCAAGCTGGTCTCGAACTCCTGACCTCCTGATCTGCCCGCCTTGGCTTCCCAAAGTGCTGGGATTACAGGCATGAGCCACTGCGCCTGGCCAGACCTGTAACTTTTAAAGAAATTTTTTCTTGTCATCTGTCCATCCCTCTCTTTTTTCATGCACATGCTGAGTAATCTTCAAGAAATAGATAACCCCCATTTTACACAAAGTGCTCCAGAAAATAGAAAAAAAAGGGAAAATTTTGATTCATTTCATGAGTCTAATATAACCTTGGTAATAAAAGCAAAAAGAGAACAACAACAACAAACAATGTTCTCAACAACAAAAAAATGGTATATGAGGTAGTGCAAATTTGGACAAACAGATCAATGACTCTGAATAGTCTAGATATAGAACCACGTATGCGTGTGAACAAGTGTATGATAGGAATGTCATCACAATCAGTGGAGAAAAGATAGACAGTCAAAATTGGTCCTGGGACAATTGTCTATCCTTCCAGACATAGATAATAGACCCCAATCCCACATCATACACCAAATGCATTCTAATTATTTAAAGACAAATATGAAAAGCAAAATATTAAAAGTCAATAAGAAAACACAAAATGCTTTAATGTATGGATTTAAAATAAATACAAATATCCTATAACAATTAAGAAAAAGTAAAGTATCCCAAAGAGAAATGTGCAGAGGCTTTAATCAGGCAATTTACAAAAGAGGCACCTAAACGTTTAGTAAATATATGAAAAATAATCACTGCACTGGAATTTTGTACAATTACTAGTGAAATTCCATTTTTCTATCTGCCAAATTAGCAAAATATAAAAGTTGGATGATATCAAGGGAGGTTGAGTATGTGCTAAATGGGAACTCATGTCGCTACTGGAAGTACAACTTTGAAATCGCTCTGGAGAGCAATTTTATAATACACATAAAGTTGAGGATGCACATACCCTAGGACCACCAGGTCCTCTTCTAGGTATATACTCCAGAGAAACTCTTGAACATGTGTACGGGGAGACACGTACCCAGATGTTCAATGTGGCAGTCTTGGTAATTGTAATCAACAGCAAGAGGGCGATGGATACATAAGCCAGCCATACATGTTCCCAGATTAATAAATTTCAGAAAGTGTCTCTGGAGAAAAGTCTCAAACTGGAGGAGGTGTACAAGCTATGAAGCTATATATGTAAATTTTTAAACATATAAAACTATAATGTATATTCTTATAGACAACTGTAGTAAAACTTCAAAAGCATGTATTAGAATGTTAACTGCAGCGTGGTTAAGAGAAAGTGGAGAGATTTGATTCTAATCCCAGCTCCACCACACACTTGCTTGTGGTCAAGTCACTTCACCATACTAAGTCCTAATTTCCTCATCTATAAAGTGAGAGCAGTATCTTTACCTCATTAGATTTTGTTTAGATTTAGTTTAAGGATCAAAGTGTCTGGGGGATAGAGTATGCTCCATGTTAACCTTCTTTGCCCTCTCTTTTCCTCGTCATCATACTTGACAGGAGAGAGTCTCGGGTCTTTAAACTCTTGCTTCAAGGTAAGGATCTGAGGAGAATCCTCAGTGTTGAGCACTTCTGCACATTCAGATTTAGAACCTCAGACATTCTTAAAGGGACAGAACTCCCAAGTACAGAAGTACCAATCCTTGAAGGATTGAGCATTGAACATAAATCATAATAACAAGAGGCAGGTGAAACTGACTGTAGACATCCTCTGATGTTCTGGTGTGGTGGAAAGAGTTTTGACAAAATTCTGTAAGACTGTGGGTGTCTGTTCTCTCATCTGAAAGATGCAAGGGTCAGGCAACAGAGGCCATCTTATTCCAAAGCTTCTGAGTGAGGGCCCGAGGATGGTGGATACCTGCACGACTTGGACAGACAAACCACCCACAGACAGAATCATCCACGGTACTGCTGACAGCAGGGGCTTCTGATCTATCATCTATTGGCCAACTGACAGCTCTAGTTCTGTGTGACCCTCAGTCCTGGGCACCCCTAGACTTGGAGAGATGGACGGTTTTGTAAAATAACAAGCTAGAAGAACCAAGCATGGAGGAAACAGAGAAAGAACAGGTGGCTGTTGAGCCAGAAAGCAAGAGAGAGAAGTTATGGGATCTCTTGAGGCCCACTTTCCTCTAGGTCCTTTGCTCTGAACAAAAAGAGTGGTCTTGAGGAGAAGCTAGAAAACAGAAATACTAGAGGAAAAACACAGTGCAATGCATGGTCAGTGTGTTTATCAGAGCTGTGAAGACGTCGCTGAGCCACCTCGGAACCCTGGTGTTACCTGAGGTTTGAATGTGTTTGTAGGTGGTGAAGAGATCCCAAGACTCTGCTAGCAGATCTTCTATAAAATGTCCCCAACACGATCACGTCTGTTGTGTAAAATCATCTTTTGACACTGCTATTGCATTTTAGGCTGTAAAATTTGTCAAATTCTCTTGGGCTTTCACATGAAAGGAGTTAATTCTCATCAAATGATGGCATTAGGGAATGACTGGAGTCAAGATAACAAGCCCAGCTCTTTCATTCAAGGGCTGATAAGTCTCTTAATTATGTTACACTTGTCTCTCCATCTGGCAAAATGCAGTTGATCACTCTCCTTTCTCTCTCTTCAGGAAACATATAAACAGAAACAAGAATTTGGATGAGCGAATACTCTGTGCTGCTCGAGGGAAGAGCACAGTGGAAGTCCAAGGGTGAGTGTGTGCCCAGGGCAGGTGAACTGGGCTCTGAGCTGATTCCTGGGATGCATGATTACATCAGCCTGTGCTCAGCTTCTCCACCAATAAAAAGGGCCAGTGATATCTGCCCACCCTTATCTCAGAGCTCTCCTGCCAGTACCTGGACATTCCAAATAATGTATTAGACCAAAATTGTCCTGGATTCTGCCCTGCAAAGTGGATGTCTCCTTTAATTTGGCTTATGAACTTTCTGATTTCACTCTAAATCCTGACCATAGATTCTTTTGTCTCAAATGCTCCCTAAGATAGAATAGACCTACTTCAAGACCTGAACAAACTTTGTTTGTAATAATAATTTTAGCCCTAGAGTACCTATAACCAGCATATGTGATTGAGAATCCTCTCAAAATGGAGTGACAAACTCTGTGACCCCAGCAAGGAGGGACACTTTCTCACCCAGTCCTGGCAGAAGGTAGGAGCAGGAAGAAGGGAACACTGCAGTGTCTGAAATTTCTCACATACAATTGACCATCCCCGTCCTTCCTTCCTCCTTCCTGTACTGCCCACTCCCCTATTTCCTCCATAGTCTGTGTTCCAGGATAGTTTCTTTCTATTTCCTTCAGGGCACTCAAGGTAAAGATCAAGGGTACTACTTTTAGCAGAAGTACTTGCATTTTTTTTTCCATTCTAAGAGATGCCCAAAGTTAGACCTCAAATGTGGAAGCTTGACAGGATGAGAAAAGAATTTAGGATCTGTCCGACTGCATAGTATGTTATCTACTCAAAAGTCCAGCCCTGGAAGGCTGTCCTTCCACCTCAGGAGGAAATACGGCTGCTTGCTGCATTGTTCCTTCAGCAATAAGATGAGCTTTGTATCAAAGAATCCTGAAAAGTTTGAAGATAGAGGAGAATATACAGTGTAGTAGGAGTGAGCATAGTTCCTGTGAGAAATGACTAGACATGATTAGAGATTCTGTGAAGTTCAGCCTAAGGAAGAGATCAGCCTTTTGCATTGCAAACTTTCCCCCCACACTAGTAAAGGTGAAAGGCCTACCTATCCCGATGACTAAAAGGCCACATTAGAGCTAGCTTTTTGGCTTATGACTTAATTGGTGTTGGTTTTAATTGTAGTTTATAAAGAATTTTTCATGGACCTTCTTTTCTCTTAATGCTACCAGTAGGCCTTATCAGTCTTTTACACCAACTGTTCCCAATCTTTTGGCACCAGGGACCACCTGTACCAGTCTGTGGCCTATAGGTTGGGGACCCCTAATTTATATCATGGTATGGATTAGTTTGAGATGCTCCCCATAAGAGCAGTTTTTGAAAGAAGGGAAAAAAATAGCACCAGACTCCCCAGGTCGAGGGAAAAAACCGATCTCACATGTTTAAAGGACTGAGTCCTTCATGTCCTCTGCCATCTTTTTAATGTTTCCCTTCCCTTTGCCTTATCAATATACAAAGCTTTTTACTAGAAAATACAAGGCAAAATGCACATTCTCTAATAAAGCAGAAACAATTACTTTGGATAAACTGAGCAAAACCATGTAGATTTCTTGGTTTATAAAAAATTGTGTTTGTGCAGGAACTTTTTGTTTATACATCCCCCCTAGCTCCAACAAAACTGAAGATGATAATCAAGTTTGCAGATTTTATTAGGGTTCACTTTAGAAAATAAACGTATGGTATAAATGGAAATTAAATATTTTGGGAAATGACTGGCTTTATCCAGAAGATATAAGGTTTAATTTTTCAACAGACAATATCAAGATGTTCTTTATTAAACCCCTACCTTGCGTAGTGGGGAAGACACAAGACTAGCTGAGCAGTGAACGGCTGAAAGCAACTTTCACTTACAGCGCAGAAAGCGTGAGATTATGAAACAGGTTCTTCTTAAGAAATACAGAAGGTTTTAAACTTTTTGGTTGCAAAAAAAAAAAAAAAAAAGGATGTGTAGTTCACTTCCTCCTCTGTTTTCTGCAGAGCACTAAGAATTGTAACTGAATTAGCTTCACTTTTCTGACCCACTCGTCACTGTGAGGCTGTAACCAGTCTGTACTGACAACTGCTTTCCTCTTTGGGGCCAGATTGTCGGGTAACATGACAGAGGGGTCTCAGTCTCCCTAAGAAAGATTTTCCAGTAAGCAGTGACTGGGAATCATAAGAATCACTGACTTTTATCTTCTCTCTTTTCCTTCTAACTCCTCTTACTACATTATGACAGTGAGTGTGGTCAGAGCAGCCAACAATGAATGCCAAGGGAAGATGAGGAGTGCAAGAAATTGTCCATAGCTCCCTGAAAATACTTTAACGAATCTGGTCTAATGTGTCTCTCAGAGACCAGAAAACTTACGACTGTCTCTTCACGTTACACTAGTTCAATTTTTTGAGTTCACATTTGTTTCTCAATCTTGGCTTAGCTGATGCATTCCGAGCTTATTCTGCTAAATTATTATGTATTTGCCCAAAGCAAAGAACTTTTAATGCACAGAGTTTATGGGCTATTCTCTATAACTTTAAGGAAAATGAAATTATTTATACCTGGAGTAGGAAATCCTTAAGTAGGATAAAAAAAAAAAATTGAAATCAATAGTTGCTACATGATAATACATTTCTATTCACAAATGGTCTGGCTCCAGGTAAAACTTCAGGATACAGAGAATGCTAGAACGTGCAGCAAAATGAAAGCCCAGATCACTTAAGTAAACTTTCCAGTCTCTTGTTAATAGCTGAGTAAATCTCTGGGCAATCCTCAAGAGGTTCTTAGAAGTCATCCCTCGTTTATATCTAGAAGGTTCTTGTAATTGTCTTGTAAATCTCCAAAGATCTTTAGAGATTACTTTGCTTTAAATAGAGACAAAAAATGATACAAAAGTAAGCTGGACTATCGCCTGGCACACTATTTCTACCTAGTGCAATTTTTAATTTCTTAAAAATCAAGTGATCTGACAGCACAATACTTGTCAAGCACTTGTCATACTGGGATGTTTCTTGCCATCCATATACGTATTTTTGCCAACCATATTTATTGACTATTGATGCTTATTCCAGGTGACCGAGTCACCCCAATGCTTAGAGGAAGCAAGCAGGGTACAAATCAATTAATCAATGAAAACATTGTCTAATGACTGACTTTTAAATCACAAAGCCATTTTAGATATAAGTAAATACCTGAAATAAAGAAGGCACTTCACACACTCCCTCTCTTCCATTTCCATCAACTTTTGTGGACAAATGCAATGGGTAATTGAAAACTTAATATCACAACCACTAAATAGTCAAACAGCCTTTAGTAACTTGTTGCTTCCTGGAAAAGATGAATCTGATAATTAACTTAAAGAAAACAAACCAAACAAAACTCTCCACTACCAGCCTGGCAGCTAGGGAGGCATTATTGGGTCTGAATCGAGGAAATCAGGAAATACTTACAATCATGATGAACGTGCCCAAGAACTCAGAGAGGGTTTCTTTCGCTAAGCTGCTCTTCAAGACCAGTCTCTGCTTGAAGCTTTTCCCCTTTTCTGCTTTCTCTGGCTGCATCTTGGGGCTTCTCTGAGGACTCCTGTTTCCACCAATGCCTACCTGTTGTGGTCCTCACTTTCACAGCCACATGAAAATGGACGTTTTGACAGTGGCTCACAGATTCCTGGAGATGTCTGGTGAGAGTCTCTGACTGTACAAATGCCGTTCCAATTAGAGGCTGTGGCTTAATCGTCTTCTGGTGGAACTGTCATTCCCTGTTCACTGCTATCTGTTTGAATTTGCGACTTAGAACCTGAAATCCCCCAAATGATCCTTTTTGTGCCTGATAGATTAATCATTACCTTTATTCTCAAGGTACTTTTTTCTCTGTTGGTTTTTTTCAAGAGATGAGAAAAGAGATGTGCTGGTTGTGTTGCCAAACCACAGTGATGGGCCCTGGTCCAGAAAAGATTTGCATGTTACACAATTGCAGGCTTCTGATTTTTTTTTTTTTTCTCATTCAGAAGTGGGTGGTTGGAGTGTAGTTTGGAATTGTCAAACCAGGTGTGGATATATCCAATGTAAACATTCTTTTCTGAAAAAGGTTTTTATGCAAAATGAAGAATTTGAAGAAAATACAGATTTATCACCCTAGAAGATTAATCACTCTTGTTTTCTTCCAGTATCATTTCAGTGACTTCATGATACCACTCTGAGGTTAGTAAGAACCACAGAGGCCATCCTAGAGATAGAGAAAAAACATACAGGGAGACCATTGCAAGTTTCACACGGCAAGTCACCTCTTCCGTTATGAAACTGGGCTTCATTTGCTGAAGATACTTTAGGATCCAAGAATCAGAAAGATGGAGGAGTCACCTTTTTGGGTTTCTTCTGAAGAAGTATTCCAGTTTGAAAACAGTCACTCTTCTTCATTTACCATGAAATATTTAGACATAATACATAGGAAATAAACAATAGCAGCTTGAAATTCTTTACTGCATGGAGATGACTGAGCTGGAAAGAGATCAATCAGCATGTATGCCATCCTAATCAAACAAGAAAGTACACCTAACCAAGGCTCCTAGGTTATACCCTTTAAATTTGATAAATTGACATCCTTGCTGGCAACAAACTGTGTTTGGTACTAGCTTCTTGTCCTGTCAAATATTCAAGCCTCGTTTTTCAAAACTGACTTGTCTGAAGAAATAGAATACAGCATTAGTTTCTAAACAACAAGGCGGGCCTAGTTTCTGATTACCATTGTGGACTCATGGAATTAGTACCCACGCTGTGTGGTTCCTTCCAGTCCTCCCACAGGGAAGCCAGCTCTGCATCAGGCCCTCGCCTAGCTTTGCAAAAAGGGAGGGAGGAGAGGACATGGAGAAAGCAGCTGATGAGAGGCCAAAGGCAGAAGGAGACTTCTGATCTGTAGGTGACATTTAGAATTTAGACTTAAAAAAGTTATCGCTTGCCTGAGGCCACACTACTGCAGAACCAGGACAAAACCTCAGCATTTTGGCTTTAATTCCTGGTGAAGTTATCAGAACTACCATTGTCTGGAAGGGTTACCTATGACCATACCATTACCAAGTCCCAGTGGATGGACCAGAGAAACAGGACTTTCTTACTGTGACTACAGCTAATAACATGCAAGAGTGTTCTTTAGTCTTCCCATTCACTCATCTAACAACTATTTATTGCACACTCAGTACCTGCCAAGCACTGCACTTAGCAAGAGCACATAGGGTTCTTGCCCTTCACAGAGCCTAGAGTCTAGTGAAGCAGACAGATGTAAGTGAAATAATCCCACACACATAAATACAAAATCACAACTGAGATGTATGCTACAAAGATGGGGGCCATATTTCTATAAGCAAATATAACAAAAGGATTTGACTTTGTCAGAGAGATCTCTGATGGCTTCTCCAAGGAAATCATGTGTAGACTGAGATCAGAAAGAAGCATGGGTTTAAGTATATGAAGTGGGGAAGAAAATGCATGTACAAAGGCCTTGGTGGGTTTGGGGGTAGGGGGTAGGGGACAGCATGATATCTCTCAAAGAATAAGAGAAATTTACTGTGGTTGACCCCAGAGAGAGTGAAGGAGTACAGCATGCAAAATGAGCCCCGAGGTGTGGGCAAGGGTCAGACCTTACTAGCCTTGTAAGTGGTAGTTAGGGCTAGAAGCTTAAGTCATTGAGGTGGTTTAAGCAGAAATATGACACGATCAGATTAGAGTTGTGAAAAGATCCTCCGAGCTGTGAGGTAGAGAGGGGACTGGAGGGGACTTGGAATGGTCATAGGTAGATCCATTTGGGGGTATTACTGAATTCCAGAACCAGGTGGTAGCTTTGATAATGGAGAAATGGAAAGATCCAAGAGTTCTTTATATCTTCAAATTGGAAGAATTTGGCAGGTTAGATGTGGGAGATGAGGAAAAGAGACTGAGAAAGGTTGGTTCCTGGTTCCTAACTTGCTGGGGAAGGTGCTGCTGAGTCCTGTGAGAGGAAATCCTGGAAGAGGACCAGAAGTGCAGTGGAAGATCGTTAATTCTGCTTGTGCAAAGTTGAGCCTCAGGGGCTTCTGAGTGACGTAAATTAGGAAGTGATATGGGTCCAGATGAAGAAGGAATGTCTGCGTGCTCAGGGTGGTGATAACTGGAGCCTGGAGTAAAGAGGCTCCCTAGGGAGAGAGTTTGAAGAGAGCTAAGAGTTTGATATGGAACATTTCATGCTTAGGTAGAGGAGGATGGAATCTTCATTATTTCTGTTTTTCTACCTTCAATTGACAGTCACACGTCTCACCTCCATCATCACAAACAGCTCATCATCAAACATAGCTTACTCGTATAAAATATTCACTGAACAAAATGTTCCAGCCACCTAACAAAATGTTCAAAAGTGTTCTAAGAGGGTAAGCAATGAATAGTATTCCTCCTTCCACCTAGGAGGGGGCCTTTGTCAAAATACCCTGACTCCAAAGTGCTAACTGGAAGCCTAAGGGAGCTTTTAAATTTCATTCACTCAGAAAATGTTTTCATTGAATATGTACCATGTGTCAGGCATAGCATTAAGCAGTGGGAATTTAAAAATGAAAATAAAAATCTCTATTATTAAGGAATTAATAGTCTAAGTGACAAAGACATCTGAATGAATATACCATAGAGTAGAATAGAGTTGTAAGCAAGATACTGAACCAAAATTTCTGTCACCATAGGGACATCTGAGAGCTAACTCTGCATTTGCCAATATACAGAGGAAAGAATGAGTACGGCGACTGCCATCAACAGTTCTAAAGCTGATGAGCTTTCCTGGATGCACCGCTATACTGATTTTCCAGGGCTGGCGTATGCTGTTCTTTTATTAATAGTTCCCTTGGCTCTGCCCCTTCTTACCTTGTCTTCTCCCCAACATTCTATTCTGTGTTTATCTACTTTTGCCTTGTGTAACCATCTTTGCCTACACTCATGCAATCCCAAGATAGAAGCCTGGTGTTTATAAGCATAACCACCTCACACCCTGACCTCACTTCCCCTACACCTCCTTATTCTAAATTCCAGTCCCTCAAAGCCTTCCTCTCCACCTAGTTATTACCTCATGATTACCCAGGTTAATGATGCACTTCCCAGCATCTCAGGTTCCATTGACCCAGTGACTTTCTTCTACACCCATGTTGCCAAAGCCCAACTCTGGGTATGCCCAACCATCTTTTTTTTTTTTTTTTTTTTTTTCTTTTGCCCCTCAGAATTTCTCTTCCCAGGCTGCTAAATGTTGCTGAAGAAAATCACAAATGTATTGATTGACACTATTGCAGATAATTGTGATGTAGGATCAGCAGTGGCCCCATGTTCTTAGTTAACCTTTTATTTCCAAGTTTCCAGATTTTAGCATGCATTAAAATCAGCTTCCCTCAGAGACTGATTCTGTAGATCTGAGATGGAGCCCAGGAATCTCACAAGCATACTTGATAATTCAGAGCCCATTCTTTGCCCAGCAGCAACCACATACCTCTTCTATGCCCTCCAGCTCACAGTCCCAACCTTCCCACTCAGATGATTACTTTTTTCTCCAAATCCACTGGGAAAGCATAGGTTTCATTGACTGTAAGTCCTTTTATGCT